TAGTGCAAAAAAGGCGAATATCGCCGAATTGGCTTAAAAATTCTAGACTAGTCTAAACATCATTTTCAGAATTAGCTTAGGAATCGGCTTAGGAATTCTGGACTAGTCTGCATTGCTTGGTTCTTTTTGAACTATTTCAGGACTAGTCTGAACATCATTTTCAGAAATCTCCTCAAATTCAGTCCATTCCTTTGTTTCAGTTTTTGTACTGGAGCTACTTGATTCTGCAGTTGATATGTCTTTGTACATCACATTCTCATTGAATATGATATCTCTGCTTCTGATGATCTTCCGATTTTTATAATCCCAAAACCGGTAACCAAACTCATTACCATCATAACCAACAAAAAAACATTTGTTAGATTTAACATCAAGTTTATTTTTTTCAGCAGAATGTATGTGTACATAAGAGATACAACCAAAAACTCTTAAATGCGAAAGATTTACCTCTTTTCTGCTCCAAGCTTCTTTCGGTATTCCACCGTCCAAGGAAACTGAGGGTCTGTGGTTGATTAGGTAAGTTGCGGTATTGATAGCTTCAGCCCATAGGAACATGGGCAAGTCAACATATATCCTCGTGCTTCTGGCACGTTCATTCAAAGTTCTGTTCATGCGTTCCGCTACGACATTCTGCTGCGGTGTCATGGGAACTGTTTTCTCCATCTTGATCCTGTTGTTTGCGTAAAATTCTTTGAATCTACTACCTTTGTACTCTCGTCCATTGTCTGACCTTAACCGTTTTATCTTCAAACCAATTTTATTTTCCATCATAACCTTCCATTTTCTGAAGATATCAAAGACTTCTGATTTTTTTCTTCAAAAAATAGACTCACATCTTCCTTATAGAATCATCAATGAAGGTGACATAGTACAGTGAGTCTGTAAGAGATGAAACTGGAGATGATCCACATACGTCGGTGTGAACCAGTTCTAACTTTCTACCTTGGGTGTCTTGCCAATCTTTGCAAAACTGACTTTCTTCTGTTTGTCAAAGATGTAATCCTCGCATAGGTTGACATCTACATTCTTCAGATCCGACAGCTTCCCTTTTGACAGAAGTGTCTTCATCCTTTTTTCGCTCATATGGCCAAGCTTTTGGTGTCATAGGTTTAAATTTTTATCTGTATCTGTTACTGCAGTAATATTCTCTAAGTTCGAGGTTACATGGAGAGTACCATTTTTCTTACCTCGAGCAATGACGAGTGCTCCTTTGGTAATCTTCCATTCATGATCTGAGAAGGTTATACAGTAACCCTCTCCATCAAGCTGTTCCACAGAGATCAAATTCCTTTTAAGGTCAGGAATATGTATCACTCCTTGCAGCTTCCACGTGGTCTGATTTGGTAATTTTAATCGGATGTTTCCCTTGCCAACGATCTTTAAGGTTTCACCATCTGCTAGATGTACCTTTCTGAATCACCGCTGACGTAGTTCATGATTTCTCGATATGGGGTGACATGAAAGGATGCCCCTGAATCAAGAATCTATGATTCAATCAGACTGTTGACGCTTAGAATCATAACCATCTTCTTCCTCGGTCACGTTGGTAAACTTCTGTGCGCTGGTATTTTTCTTCGGTACCCGACACTCCCTCTTGAAAAGACCCTTCTTGTCATAATTATAGCAGTTAAAACTTTCTTTCCCGATCTAGATTTGCTCCTAGATTTTGATCTGTCGCAATTTGAACTTTTTTCTGAAGTTCTCCCCCTAGACTCCGTGTGTAAAGCTGAAGAGGTTGATGCTTCACCTGATTCTCTCTGCTGAATTTCTTCACTAAGAACCAGATCACGAATATCATCAAATTTCAACTTATTGCTTCACGACGAGAGCTACTCACAGCTGTGATAGTAACATTTCAACTTTCTGGTAGAGAAGATAAAAGTATTAATACTCGTACTTCTTTATCAAACTCAATTCTAACTGAACTCAACTGGGTTGTGACTGTATTGAGTTCATTGAGATGTTGAGCTACCGATGCGTCTTCTGTCATCCGTAAATTGAACAGTTGCCTCATCAAGTGAACTTTATTTGAGGTAGAGGGCTTCTCATACATCCTGTAGAGAGCTGTCATAAAACTTGTCGTGCTCTTTTCTTTTTCTATGTTGAAAGCAACATTACGGGATAGCGTCAATCGGATAACTCCAAGGGCTTGTCTGTCGAGAAAAGCACACTCTTCATCCTTCATATCATCTAGTTTACTTCCTGAAAGAGGTTGATACAGCTTCTTCTGATACAGATAATTTTTGATCTGTATCTTTCAAAAGTCGAAGTCCGCACCATCGAACTTCTCAATTTTTACCTCCCCTTCGTCTGCAGTCATCGCTCCCACTCGAATCTACCACCCTTTGGATCGTTTCTGACTGTTTTTGCGAACCACCATATATTAAGACACCTTTGCCGACAAATCGGTACCGCCGGCAAAGTTTTACTATACACAAAATTTACTATTTACGTGAATAGTTATCTTACAAAAAATTAACAGACATCACAACTAGAGCTCTGATACCAGTTGTTGAGAATTACATAAACTCCCCTATTATCAGATTTAAGAGAGCGAAATAAATGCGCAATAATAGGATACACAATTTAACGTGGTTCGGCATAAAAATTACCTACATCCACGGGCTGCTGCAGATCTTTACTGAAAAAGAAAATTTTACAAGCACTCTGAAAATTGCTCTTAATTTTCTCTCACTGAGTACTCTCTCTCTCTTAATTTTCTCTCTCAATCTTTCTCACGGAGTGCTCTCTCTCACTCTTCTCAAGAACACTTAGAAGCTGATTGAGATTATAGATTAAAGAGAAGAGTGGGGGGGTTTATAGCCTCCATCCCCCTCCTTTTTTCTTCCTTTCTTTTGACTCTTGCTCCCCTCTTGTCAACAAAAGCAGCCACCTTTCTTCTTATCAAGAAAGACAGCCACCTTCCTTTTTTTTCTTTCGGTGGCTTCTTTTGTTGACAAAAGAAAGCAGCCACCAACTCCTTTTGACTAACAGGATGGTCTCATTTCATGTTTTATTAACATAGGTATTTAGTTATAGTAAAGTCATTGACTCATATTCTATTGTGGGCGTCCCTTTATTCGATTCCACACATTGCATTTTGTCTTGCGCATGTACACTTAAAAGGGACTTTGCGCCTTGCAAACTTATAAGTGATGCGTCACTTTTGGGGAACTAATTCGTGCACTGGAGGGAATCGGTTCACAAATTTACTGGGAAATTGATTTGCAAGAACTATACAACAATTCGAGGGGGGTCCAAGGGAATCACGCAACTATGCTGTCATCAATGCCGAAGCATACCAACTGATGCCCGTAAAGGATCAAAATTATCTCGCTCTGGTACAAGGAAGGAGATCAGCCTTCGAGATAGGCCTAGGCTTTAAGCGTTCTTAGCTTCAGGTCGCTTATGGATAATTACAAATACTAGTGCAGTTTACTTTACACGCATGTCATCTTTCAAAGGAGGACCTTCCACATGTTCCATATTAGTGAGCTATGATCTTGAGGCTACTTCATGCACATTATTACATTAAGCTAAAAACAAAACTCCCTTTAAATTAGGGGGTTTCGTATATAACTTCCGCTAAATACCCATGACTTTTGGGTGTCTCACAAAACCCTCTTAGAAATTTATCTCCTAACGGAGTTAGTAGGTCAGCTTGAAAGACAAAAATATCCGGTTTAACCAGACCTACTATTAGTTGGGGGTTTCTTTAAAAAGAATTTGAAGTTTATGGGAGCTTTGTAAGACCCTCTGAAGTTCATGCCTCATGGGAGTTTACTTGGATTTATAAAGCTCAGGGGATTTAGTGGGAGAACCTTAAAGTTAAGGGCCTTTTGTTAAATTTAGCTTTTGGACGAATGGTTATTGGCAGTTCACAACTTAAATGAGCGCTACACGCAAATGAAAATTCAGCCAGTTGATGTTTGTACACTGATACAGATGTAAATATGACCCCAAAGTCCAATCTATATGAAAAGAAGTCCTGTGGGTAGTCCAAGAAGACATAATGCCTTTTAGAAAGTCATAGATGGCGTTTTGGAGAACCAAGTTCGCTAAAGAGTAAAGACATCAATAACCATCTACAAGATAGCAAAGCAGAGGTCGGAACCTGCTGAGTTCGCAATAAGACGCATGAGCGGAATAGGACAAGGCAATCAAGAGAGGAATTACAATTGGTCAAATTGCAAGAATCCTAACGACTCAATGTTCGTAGCACCTGTAAAGGACAACAGGAAGTAGTCAAGGCTCATCTTTGCAGCCCAGGCTAAAGCCGGCGCAAATACCATTCTGTAATCTAAGCATGACGATACACCCAGGTTCCCCAAAATAAATACAAAAAGGTATAAATATCCTCTCCTATTGCAGGTGAACAGAGAACACATACACAAACGAAACACTTGAGTCTCTTTGCTTATTGTCTCATTTATCAAAAGACGGAGTTAAGCATTGGAGGGGCGAAACAGCGAAATAACCCTCAGGCTTGCACCTTAAATGATTTTGGTATGCAAATCTATGTATGGTCGTGTTTGCTACCTGTGCTTTCTGAATTACAGGTCCCACTGGCGCTTACATGAACATCCGAACACGTGGTAAGTCAGAGCAGCAACAAAAACTATAAACATTGATAGAATGTATATATTTGCAATTAAAATATATCTTTATAAGCATGTCTTCAGAAACTGTTTGCTCATAGAAAAACATGAAATATCTATCTTATGAGCTAGTAGAATTTGAAGTCAAAATACTCAAGAGTATAGAATCAAATCACCGTAACCGAACAATTGTCTGCCATTTACACAAACGCTTTCTGTAAGATTCCATGGTTTTCATTAAAATTTGATGGGCTAGCTACAACTTAGAGTTCAAGGGGGAAAATGTCATCAAACCCATTAACGGAAAGGGGAAAAGATACTATCTTTATGCAGAAACTGCCACTACTTAATAAGCACTTGTTGGTCAATGAGATATCAGCACTCGCAAGAGAGGATACGTACCTAGAGAGAAGCTTCAAGAGAGCCAGAGTGGAGAGTGAGCCAAAAAGAGCGCTCGCTCCAATCAAGAGCCAACGCTTTGAATTCTCTGCCATTTTTTCCCCTCTCAGTTTCTTCTCCTTTTTCTCTTATATATATTTTCTGTGACGTTTCGGGGGATTTTGGGGGCGGCCGACGGTGACTCTATTCTCTCTTGGGAGTTTAATAGGACTATCCTTTGGTTGAAGTTAGTGGGCCTTCAGGCCTCAGTTAACGCTTATTATTCTAGGATTTATATAAGGTTTGGGTCTTCGATAGGCTGGAATTATGCTGCACTAGAAGTATTAAGTTGGATTTATAATTGTTTTTTATGGCCTTTTAAGTGTTGGCATTTGTAGGGATATCTCAGGCTTGGACTGGCAATCTTTCTGCAAAAGCCACGTGATAGAAATGTAAGTTTAGTTTGGGCTGCAGCTGCCGGCCTGGTAGTAGCTATCGCATATTTTTATTTGAATTTCGATCTCTTAATACACGTTTGTTTCGCCCGTGCTAGCATGGATGGGCTCGGATGTCGAAAGAGAATATGGAGCAGATAGCAGGATCAATCCAACCCATATTATTAGCTTTCGAAACTACGGATCTGACCTTTTTTTTTCCAGTTCTGATTTACGTGGTCTCTATGAGTTATTTCTTTGGTCTATGTCGGTGTTTGTAAATTGAACTGCACTGAAAATAAATTTAGACTCAAAATATTTGGAATTTTCCCTAAACCCCTATAGAGGTGGTAAACGATCGAATCGAATCGAATACTTAGGAGTTTGTATTTGTATTTGTTTGAAATTATCGAATTCGAATGCAGACTCTAATATTCATATATCTAGTTTTTCGAATTCAAACTCGAATACTTGGTATTTGATAAATATTCATGAATATTTTCTAATACTTATCGAATATCAAATGTTGATGTTAAGTGATCACACAGTCAATTATATCCATGGTTGGATAGGGGCGAAGTTGATAAGGGGCCGCTTCCTTCCCCGAATATCCAGTTTTGAGTTGAGTAGCTAAAGTATGCACATATAGAAACCCATGAGAGAACGAGGACCGGTTCCCCTTGTTGGAATTAGGTGTGGATACAAACCTCCACAGTCGAGCTGATGCGGCATAATTATGTACCAAAATTGTAAGTGCACAATTTATCAAGTTATAGTATAAAAAGATATCGATCCCACGAAGAAGGTGATTTTAAGAGATTATTAAACTTGGTTCTTATATTTTGTGCGTGACAATTAGGAATAAAGAATAAGTGTGAATGTGATGAGTGATTGTTGTGAATATTTGCAAAAGATAATAAATTGATTTTTAGAGGAGAGAAGGAAGAATTAAAGAATAAATGAAATCACAAGGCAAGAAATATGAATTAATAAAATCAAGAAATAAAACTAAGAATGAAAAGAAAATTTAAGAAAGTTAAGATGAAGGATTCAAAAGAAGTAAGAAATCTAGAATATAATCCACTAACCAATTTCAATTACAAAATATAAACTATTCTCTTTTTATCATATTTCAACTTAGATTTATTAAGCATAGATTATCAAACCATTTAAGGAAAGTGTAACCTATCAAATTATCATCTAAGTTAAAATTACTATTCATGATAAGAACAATCAACATGATAATAATCCTAGAATTCATAAGCATAACCTATCAAACAATTTAAGGAAAGCATAGATTATCAAATTTTTCTTCTACCGATTAGTTCTCTAGTTGATTATCCTAAACATGAACATTTTAAATGCAAGAGAATAATTCATACAATATAAAGGAAATTAGACTAGTTACATACAATTCCAAGATTCTTACAAGAATTAAATTCACATCTTAAGAAATGAAAACAAGAAAAAGAACTAATTACAAAAATAAAAAGAAAATAAAAATCTAAACTATGAACAAGAAATAAATCTAACTACAAAGAAAATAAAAATCTACACTACAAAATAAATTGCAGAAATTAAATGCAAGAAAAATAAATCTACTCTACAAATTAAAGTGCAAAAAGAAATAAAAAGACAAGAAAATAAATCTACACTACAAGCATGAATTTAAATCTAACTAATAAGCAATAATAAAGAAATTACTAAAAAGAAATAAAAGAGAAAAGAAATGCAAACCTTCAAATTGCTCTTCATCTCCATCCTCATCATTCAACAAAGAGGAGAAAGAACAAATTTAAAGAGGAAAAAATTATTTTTATTAATTGCAACTAAAGTTACAATTTTTGGAAGGCCTTCTCAATTAAGAGTAGCCCTCCTCTCCAAAAGGAGTTTACAAAATTTTCACACCTCTAACCCCTCACTCTCTACCCCTATTTATAGTAATCTTCAATGAATATGAGCCATTGGATTTGTCTTGAATCCCAAGCAACAATCTTCACCTTTGAATTTGCTTTTTGTTCTTCTCTAGCCCAATCTTCATTTGATTTTCCAAGAAGCAAGTCCAGCCCATATAATGTAAAATCAACCGGCCCATATGATTTTTGCTGCAGTACCCAAAGCCAAGACTAGTCCATTTGAATTTCCATTTGATGAACAAGCAAGTCGGCCCATGAATCATTTCATTTGGTTTTTTTTTTTAAATAAAATCCGGCCCATTTCTTCCAACACAGCAGGTCCATTAAATACACAAGTTTTGAAGTCCATAGCAACACTCATTCTCTATTTTTGATTTGTTTTGAATCCAAGTCCGGCCCATCTTTGATAATTCATTGATTTTCAAGTTTTTGGCTCATTCAAAGTCCAAAGTCCAAAGCATTTTCAAAACTAAATTCTCAAGCAAGTCCAGCCAAGTCCGGTCACTTGAATTCATTCAAACTTTGCATAAAAGCCCACTTCATTCCACTATTTACATCCATGTCCAAGCATAGCTTCCTTGGTGTATTTTTTTATGAGCTTTGCTCTTTGGGCTTCAATTATTTTCCTCTTTTAAGCTTTTGCTTCATGGGCTTCTAAAATGCTACAAAATAGAGAAGAGAGATCTAGATGGGTTTTTATATTTAATAATATTTATTTATATTTATGTGCAAACTAAGCTAACAACAATTATTAATTGTATATTTATTCATATAAAATAGATAATGAGGGTATAAAACTGTAATAAAATGTGATTATCAAATACCCCCATACCTAAACTTTTGCTAGTCCTCTAGCAAAGAAAATAAAAAGAAAATCCTAACTCACTTTCGCAGGAATCGCGGTTGTATTTAGCGCATACAACAAGCCTTTAAACCCCTAGGTTACCCTAGTGGACGAGTTGTAGTCTCGTGAGGGTTTGCAGTGAATATACCCACAAAATTCGGTCAACTTGCCAAATTAAAGAAGTCAGTAAATAACTAAATTCACTTGATAACTTTTAGATAATCTAATTGGAGCCAGTTATCACTCAAGAAAACATTTTTATATATAACTCTAAGGTATATTTTTAAGAAAATCTTCTCATTGTAGCAATACAAAACCAAGCCAAACTTAGAAATTTAATTTAAAAGTTTTGAAAAGAACATGCTAACTCTTTGTTTTAAATAATTTTCAAGTTGCTTGATTTAAAATATTTTCCAAGACCATATATACAACTATAAAACATTTATTAAATTTTTTATTTTTTATTTTTTTATTATTTTTTAAAACTCTTTCATCCTTGGTGATTTTTTTTCTACTTTAACGGGCTTTCTAAGTGACCATTTAACGAGTTTTGGGCCAATGGATCCCAACCCAAATGGGCTTAGGTCATTAAGTATGGAAATACTCCTTGGGCTTAATTACTCGGTCAGCTTAGGCTTTATAAGATAGAATCACCTTGAATTAAAGAGTTTTTTTTTCTTTTTGGTGCCCATTTTTCGCACTCTTCTTTTGCAATTTTTTTTTGTATATGTATATATATTTTGAAAATATGTAAATCAAGACACTTTGAAAAAAAATTATTTTCAACTCTAAGTTAAGCATGCAAAAATTTCATTATTTTAAATAAAAGTCCAAGTTAAGGCTTAAGTAAAGTATACTACTTTGAAAATCATTTCTTAAGAAATTTATTTAGAGTTATCATAAAAGGTGAACTTAAGTAAATAACTAACTAGGGATTAGAAAATTTCAAATTTATCAAATAAATCAATTATTACATAACTCTATCAATTTAATATGTCACTAACTAAGAATTAGAAAATTTAAAATCTATCAATTTGATCAATTATTACTTAACTCTATTAATTTGGCAAGTGACAATATTTTTATAATTTTTTTTAACAAAAAGAAAAAAACAACTAAAAAGGTAAAATAAAGAGGAAAATATGTATTTCTCACCCCCACACCTAAATTATGCATTGTCCTCAATGCAAGCACAAAGTAAAGCAGATAGAATTGGAGAACTTACAGTTGTTCGGTTGACAATGATGATAAGGATCTGCAATTACCGTTAGTATGTGGATGAAGAAATCAAATAAGAGGAAAAATTGTAAGTAATTATTATTTTATTTATTTATTATTATCCTATGCTACTTATTCAAAAAAAAAAAATTTTAAGAAACAAAAGAAAAATTAGTTTTTTTTTTACAGATAATGAGGTTCATGAAGAACCAACACCTCAGAAACAAAAGAAAAATTAGTTTTTTTTTTACAGATAATGAGGTTCATGAAGAACCAACACCTCTTCCTTTCCGAGCGTAGAAAATTCTAAAAATGGTTTTAGACGTTGACCATTTATTTTAAAAATATTACCATTTTAAGGATTTTCTATCTCGACAGCTCCATGTGGAAAAACTAGTTTAATAAAAAATGGACCTGTCCATCTTGATCTTAGTTTTTCAGGAAAAAGATGCAATTTGGAATTGTACAATAAAACTTTTTGTCCTGGAGAGAAATTTTTTCGCAAAATTGATTTGTCATGAAAATTTTTTGTTTTCTCTTTGTAAATTTTTGAGTTTATGTATGCATCATTTCTAATTTCTTCCAACTCATTTATTTGGAGCAATCTGTTCTTACCTGCCGAGTCTGAGTCAAAATTGAACTGTTTTATTGCCCATATTGCTCGATGTTCCAACTCTACTGGTATGTGACAAGCTTTTCCGAATACTAATCTGTATGGTGACATTCCCAAATTGGCCTTGAAAGCAGTTCTATATGCCCACAGAGCATCACACA